ACTCATCGCCCTGATGATGGAGGCAGTATGACCTCTGAAACGTTGGTTAACATCGACCAGACTACACAGCGCAATAACCCAGAAGACGGATATCTTCATACTCACCGCTGTGAGAACCTCAAGTCTTACATCAATATAGATATTTCATAAAAGGTAGAAATATATAAATTTTACTATTTTCAGTATCGTTTGAGAGTTTGTGATAGGACGCAGGACCATGCAATGTACATTATTCCAGGTTTCCACGGAGAATGAGTCCCGTAGATGTTGCACGTTACAGTCAAATGAATTAGCCTTCACAAATGCATTATTAATGATTAATGCGAATGGAAACACTTTGCATCTCATCCGGCCACATTTTTATTTTATGAGTTTTTCTTTTCTTTTCGAATTAAGACTGAAATCATTAATTTTTTTTACATTAAAATATAAATAAGGAAAATAAGGTTTACACGGCATGGACAGTGAATACTGATACGAAGGGATTTTTCAGCGAGTGGAACGTCGTAAAACTGTACAACACAAAACTTTACTGCGTTTTCCAAATTAAACAAGAAGCGGACTGCTTTGAACTCTATGAACAATATTTAATAACACTTCCCTTAGGGAGAAAGCATAAATCCAGCCATGTGCCAGATTATATACGATTGAAACTGGTTGGTATTTTAATTTTCTCTGAAGAAAGAAGGGAAAAATCAAGGAGAAAAATTTAGTTGGTGTATTTTAGTGTTTGTTACACTGTGTCACGTATTCACGTGACAAAGTTATGGCTATATTGTTCAGACTATTCGAATATTGTTACAAAACTGTGGTCCGCGAACTATGTTAAGTTTATAAAGGGGGAGAAAACAACAGAATACTCCACTCGAAAACTTGTAGTAAATTTACTCTGACGACCCCAAGTTCTTCCTTCAGCAGATAACGATCCTGGTGGTACAAGAATCTCATAGCATTGAATCCTAAGTATCTACACGTCATCACTAACCAGTACATCTTCAGACACCTGTAAGATCCATATTAATGTTATCCTCCTTGGGTTACTTTCGAGTAGTTTCAGGCATGACGATCCAGTAGCATCACACCCTCGTCATGTACAGCAGGCCTTGAGTTCGAATCTTGACAAAACGTCCGGCTACCAAGACGGAAGGATTACGAGGTTTTCTTCAGATGTTTCAGGGAAGTGCCGGATTTTATTAAAATAATAAAGAAATAGAAGATGAAATTTCGAGGAAGTTGAAAGAGAATACGTCTGAGAAAATAAGTTATCTGATAATATGATGATTATGATATCAGGTTCACTGTCCATCTTCCTACATTATTTTGTGTGATGAAATTTTTGACTTCGAATTTTTTTTTGTCAAATTTCTGTTTTGGTAATATGAATATAGGCCTACTTATGGTGGTTTGTTAGGACACGTGCCTCGCCCCTTTTTTTTGCGAATAAGAATCATTCCCATGACACAATTAGGAATTCGGAGCAAATAAAATAAATACGTACTTTCGTCATTTCGGTTGTTGTTGTTCGTGTGATGTTTTTATTTTGCATTTTACGCGAGGGCATCGAGTAATTTTAAATAGGGAGGGCTAAAGGGTAGTAAGAAACGGGGGGCAATAAAAACAGCAATAAAATTTAAGATTTCTGTTGTGATGCTAATTTAAACCTTCTTTATTCTTTTTCGCGTTTGCCCAAGGGAAATAGAAAACTCTGTTCTGGCAGTGAAAACGCTGGACGATGCATGCAAACAAATTACCTGCTTTGAGCTCAGAATGTGATGGTTTTGTTTACCTGCCAATTTTCAAAATTAGTTTCTTGTTTAAAAAAATATGCATTCTGTGCTCACAAGGGCTTAATATTTTATAATGTACGTGGACTTAAGTCCTTTTTACTCACCACCCTAGCCTCCTTATTTGATTCCATAGAATTCTGAAGTCACGTGTCAAAATTACTACGCATGTGGCCACAAAGTTATTGATCACGTGATTATTTCAATGTCTTTCTCGGCAAATCTTTCCAGCGTTGAACAAGACCATGCAGTTCATCTCACTTATTTTTCGGTCTCATTTCCCCCACAAAAATTCTCCCCTATCCGAGCTCCGTGTCCGGTTTCTTTTAACATAATTAATTTCAAAGCTTTTCACACTACAGGGTGACCTACATAAAACTGCTTATTGTTCATGTCTCCAGATATGATCATTAACAATCCTGCTCGTTAGCAACCACGCAGATTAATTTTTATTTTCTCCTTCGAAATGAACACGTTGTTATGATCGACAGAAATTAGATATCTGTCCCTCACGGCGACGAGTATGAATGAAGATGTCTTCTGTTATTTTGCGCCATGCAGTCTGGTTGAAATTGACTGATGTTTCGGAGGTGTTTACTGCCTCCATCATCAGGGAAATTATCCTCTGAAACGTCGGTCAAGTTCTACACCGCGCGCGCCTGATTTTACAGTCATTTATCGATTTTATGTGATTATTAGAATAAATATCTATTATTTCCATTAACTAGTTGATCAATGTCCTGGAGATGTGTTTTCTTTTGAGGGAGAACTGAATGTTCAAATATTATTTACATCGCCTTCATAAAAGGGTTAAATATAACAATTGAACCCGTAGACAGAGCCACCAGTGAATTTGGTGGAGCTCTAGGAGTTTTGACGAACCGCTGTATTCCACAACCAAGCGGGGAAACGAGACAGACAGACAGACAGATAGATAGACAGGCATATATTCTATAATGGAAACTCCTCCATGAAATAATCTCTGTGCGATCTTTCTGACATTTGAACAAACAAAACAAAACAAAAACAAACCCAGCGAGACAACAGATTTATAGGAAACAGTGGAGAGAGAGAAAGAGAGGAGATAGTTACCCAAGCGCCCGCTATGGCAGCACCAGTAACTACACGAGCGCCACAAAACAGTGGGCGGGCTGGTTCTTTATTATCATAGAAACAAAAGACGCACCGTTCCATGTGATGATACCATGAAAATAGGTAAACAATGGAAGATATGAAGGTTTCCAATTTCTGATTCTGATGCTTCCAGCTTCTTTCTGCGTTTTGAAAGTAGTTCCTTCTCTTTCGCAGTTTCTCTTCCAAAAATTGTTTAATCGTTTCCCCCTTTCACAACCGTTAATGCGGGCAAACGGCCCGATATTTAATAAATTTACTACCAGCATATTTTAAACAACTCCTAACCTCAACAAAAGATCGTTTACCGACGGATAGCTAATTGTAGACAATACGGAAATCAGAAACTCCAAAGTATACGTGCACTGGGAGAAAGTGATTGTATTTTAATGAAACACGAAAGCTGTATTTATTTTGGTGTTTACAAAGTTTATATTTTTATTCAGCTCCTGTCTGATCGCTTTCCGACAAAGGCAACTCAATACGTAGTCTATACGTTCATCCCTAGAACAGTAAATTTCCATATTAAGACTTTTTATTTTTTGTTATATGAATGTATTGTACGTGGCTGTCTTATTTCTATAATATTGTTCTTATTATATTGTATTTCTGTTACTCTGTTTCTGTCTATACATTAACACAACCAGAAATAAATTTTTGTCAGTATTAAGAATCGAGGCTTCAGTGTATTGATCTGTTGCTATGGTATTTATTGATACACGTCCGGTTCTCGAAACTTTCTGAATGCTTTTGGGACTTGTTTCGACTTATACAAAGTATGATGACTTCTTTTTCGAAACCCAATGGGATAAGAAAGGGATTCTGAAGGCTGCGGAAATGAATGTGAACAAAAAGACAGCCATCTTCAGACTCACCGCCATGAAAACCTCAAATCCTAAATATGAACAATTTTAAGCCATCACAAATTCGAGGAATAGGTCTGTAGAAACTTGTTTTTATAAAAATTGAATCTGTCCCATAATTTTCGCGAATCTTCCATTTGGTTAGAGTCTCAGTTTTCAAACAAAACTAATTTGTTGGCTCTTTTCACTGTGGATTATTAGCATCATAATTGATTTTATTTCCACATCGCAAAGGAACTTAATTAGCTAGGCATATATATATATATATATGTATTAAAACCCACAAATAGTTATTTTAGCTGCAAAGAAATTTATATTCACTACATCAGTCGTAATTAAAAGTTGTTCAGAAGAACAGAAGAGAAGAGCCTAGAATTCGAGTTATATCGTCCGTAGCGTGGAAGATGTTAACATGTCCCCATCTCACATCCTAGAGTTTCGTTGTTGAAAAATCCAACACCCCCCATACAGATACCATGTGTAGCCACGAGGGCGAGGCTACATTGGTAGAATCCGCGGCAATTATTTGGATCGGCGAAATATCCCGAAGTGGTGCATTTGAACTGAGCCGCGGGGGAAGGTGTGATGATAACGGGGTTGGTACAGTCTCCCCAGACACACGTGTCCACTGGATCGAAGTGTGCGTAGGCGGTGCAGGTACCGCTAATTGCGTCTAGGTCGTCGTCACAGTTATAGAATCTGTGGCAGTCCGTGGGGTCGGCAAAGAAGCCCGCTGCCTTGCATTTGAATCCAGCGTCCTGAGATGACGCCGTGGCCTGAAAGCAGAGTTAACACTCCTGTTATTACGAGAGGACAGTGGCTGGCCAGAAACTTCCTCGAAAATCTTAAAGTCGCGTAGCTGGTCAGTACATTTCCAATTTGATATAATACGTTCGCTCATCACCGCGTTCACTAAAGCCCGTAATGTAGTCAGTCCCGAATCAGTTTAAAACTATCTCTACTTCGCAGATTTATCATGAGTATGCCTGTAACGTTCAAGGATTTTTAGTCAGAATTTTTCTTAATGATAAATTTCTCTCGTATTTCTACTGGTATTTCAAGTCGCGTATTTTTTATTTTCATACGTAAAAAATATCGGGCGTTTCCTGCTACGAACGATTATAATCGTAATTATCTTTTACCATAGGCTAACGGCTGTCACACTTAATACAATGTTTCAAGTTAATTTTAATATATTTGTGAATTGCGTATACATATAAAATCATTCAGGACATCAGCCGAAATGTGAAACTGAACCTTCATTATCTGAAGTAGGATTTGTAACAATCTGTTTCATTATGAGTAGATAATTATTTCTGTTCTAATGTGGCACATCGGTCCCCTCATTTGAATTCTGAACCTTCTGTGTGTACTGATTTTTCCCCAGTGAAAGACTTTGTAATGACAATGGTTTTATCTCGATCCTCCGTTGCAAAGTGAATTTGTTTATCAACTTAGAAATAACCACGCAACCTCGGTTATTTAGTTGCTAATTATATTTCTACTAATTATATACATTTCTAAAATCATCTACACATACTGAGGATCCTTCTTGAAATAACTTACCATATATAATGTCAGGATGAAGGAAAAAGTCACGAATTTCTGGGTCCACATGTTTAGAATTCGCGTCGTCTGGCTGTGCTGAGGTTTGAACACGCGTCTTATAGCAGCTCACACACGACTGGTGTGCTCCACAATTATTGTGTGTTTTTTTATCCGCTAAAATGTCTCTGTGACGTCATAAAGAATCACTTTTAGTGACAGGATACATTCGTTTTCTGTAATAACTGTGTTTTTCTTGTTCCTGCAAACGCTGCTGTTCATTTATCATTGTAATCGTATGTTGCATTTCCGTTTCGTAACTTGTAATCAGTAATTCGCTTTACCTTCGAATGACTAAGATTATTCAAGGACTTCCGAAATTTGTGCTTTTGTGTAAGGACACTCGGCGATTGCCGCTTAATTATCTCTATTTGTTACGTGTGAGGACGGTCAGCTCAGTCAGTTTAGTGACTGACTACGAACTGGACGACCGGGGTTCGAGGATTTTTCCTCTAGCCTCTGCGTCCAGACCGGTTCTGGGGCCCACCCAGTCTCCTACCCAATGGGAACAGGGGTGTTTTCCCGGGGGTAAAGCCGGCCTGGGCGTGACACTGACCACTCACCCCCCTCTAGTGCCGAGGTCAAGAAAGAGTAGGAGCTATACCGCCTCTCCCCCCAAGCGCCTACATGGGGTATAGTGGGACAGATTTACCTTACTTTACTTATTTACAAGTCACATATAATGGTAATACCTACAGTTTTTATACTTTGTAAGCCCTAAATGCACCACGCCAAACCCGAATGGTTTTGTATAAATCTTTATTTGGAGTAAACTTTATTAACTGTTTCAATTCTAAGGTCGAAGATTCGAGGAATTTGCTTTTCCGCTCAATAAAATACGCACATAGAGCTGATTCTGTGGCCAGAGTACTCCTTCAGAAGCTGATAGTAGCACAGATGTTCGAAACATGCCACGTGTTGGAATACAAATAGGGAAAAATATTCTGAGGTCACTGATGACGTAACATGACATCAGTGGCTTTAATAAGAATTAGTTTCTACGCCCCACACCCATAAAATGATCTCGTGGAGAATGAAATCTTGGAATCCTTTACTTGTTCTTTCGAAACGTCTTAGAATATCTTATAAAGGTTATTTATTGAAATACAAGAAGACACTTGCAGTTCATGTAGAGTATTTCGTTTTATTATATTGTATTATATTCGAGCTGTTTAAAGCATCAAATTACAATAATTTTTACCTAAATCAGTGCCTGAATTTCGTAATAGATCATTATATATACGAATATAAATGTTTCTGCATTTGCAAATAGAATCACATGCATGTGTGCGTTAAAATTCTGTGAGACACTAATCCTACAAGTCTCACAGAAGTTTATTATTATTAATTAATTAATTAACGTGTTGTGGGCGCATTTAAAATATGAACAATATGCAAGCACTTCTTTTGGGGTCAAATTTGTGTAATATAAAACATGTTTTACGTTTAGGAATCATCTTTGAGTCGCAAACATAGTAACTTCGAGTATCGCTCGGGTCAGGATATTTCCCTGAACCAGGGCATTTAAAAGTTGATGTGGTCGGCGTACTGCTGGTGGTAGCTGCCGTTTGTTGGGTTGTGTTCGGGGTAGTGATGGGGGCATAGGCGTTGGTGCAGTCTCCCCAGACGCACGTGTCCACTGGATCGAAGTGTCCGTACTTGGTGCAGGTACCGCGAATTACATCCAGGTCGTCGTCACAGTTATAGAATCTGTGGCAGTCCGTGGGGTCGGCAAAGAAGCCCGCTGCCTTGCATTTGAATCCAGCGTCCTGAGATGACGCCGTGGCCTGAAAGCAGAGTTAACACTCCTGTTATTACGACAAGGCCAGTAAGTTAGTCTAAAAGCTGAAAGTCGCGTATCTGGTCAATACGTTCTCGCTTTTGTGGCATCCTAATGTCCATCATGGTAACGAAGTATGTAATCGATTCTGTCCTATTTATCTGAGACCTGTTTAGTATTGCTCTAAAATTACAGGTTTTATTACTAATATTTTGCATGGATTTCGTAGTTGCCCCACGCCTACTATGTTGCCTCCCCCATAATTTGATCATCTTAATAATGATAATTAAATAATATAAATTATGACGCTGTTAACTGTGTGATTTAATCCATTCTTGTATTATTACTTCCTCTGTCTGAGGACAAAATATTGGCCTCAGAACACTATTTCCTCTGACGTCATGTTAGAGTGACAAATCAAGTTTCATACAGAATTTTTTTTAAAATTGTAAAGATGGTTTATCGTCTTGGACGTTGCGTCACGTATTCCGGTAGACAAAGACCGGCGTTTCAGAGGAGCTTAGATTCAGTATGTACCAATCCACGCGATTCAACATCCCAGAATACTTATATAATTATACGAAGAGCGTTCTGATTCTCGCTTGTTGGTACGCCATCCACTTATCGCATTGTTCAAGAGTGAGTTTGTGACAATGCAATCTCACAGCCCCGGGTAACAAACCCTTGAGTGTTGAGGTACAGTCTGCCTCAGAAGCCAGGCAACGACACGACCGTAACTTTAAACACACGGCATCTATTTATTCACATTTTAATTCGTTTAGTTACACTGATTAAATATATTTTTTAAAAAAAATGTAAAATTCCACAAAGCGATCCCTTAAGCTCGATGCCTTATCTGGCCCCTGGTGAAGATAAGAGAATCTGAAATGAGGTCCAGCAAATATTTCCCCGAATATAATTTATTCACAATTTTATGAATGAATATAAATATATAACAATTATTTATTTTAATCCGTCTTATCACAATATTTAAAATTTCTTATAATTAAGATAATAAAATATCATTGATGTTCCATATCGATTGATCGATTTACATTTTGGAACATCTTTTACACAACATGTTTCAGTTTTTATAAAACCATCATCAGGTGTAAAATATTTACGAACTTAAAACTCAAATATGATTCCATTTGCTGATGTTTCATGCCATTTGTTTTTTCAATTTTGGGCGAGGTGTTGTCTTTTCTTAAATTTTATCAGATGTACATATCGGTCTGTAAGTAGAAGATTGAGAGAAACACTAAAGAATTTGAAAGAATTTACAAAAGAATTTAGAGAATAAAATGCAAAATATATAAATTATAGTTAGTCACTTGCGTATATATATATATATATATAATCTTTGTTGGTTGTTCTCGGTGTCTGAGGGGGATGGGAGGATGCTGTCTTGTTCGGTGATTCCATTTTGTATTTATGTTTTACTCTCTACTGTAACGTCACATCCCTAGTGTTTCATGGTCATTCATGACAAATGCTGTTTCTTTTACGAATCAGTACGAGTGTAATCAGAATTGTCGTTTATTAAATATTTGCCTTACCCTGACGATTATCACCCTTAAGGCAGTTTTAGGTATGATTTTAAACTTCAACTTGAAAAGGAATTTGAGGGTTATCCGATTATTTGTTACGTAATCATGTTTAGTTAATTGCATGGCTAAAGAATATTTACATCTAAGGCTTCGCCCCTGCTTATTCGAGTGCTAATAATTCTTGAAATAGCTTACCATATAAAATGAGAGAGTGAAGAAAATTTTCACGAAGCTCTGAGTCCACATGCTGAGAGTTAAGACCGCTCCGTTCTGCTAGCGTTCGAATGTTGAATGTTATTCTGTGTCTCGCAAAACTTGTATGTAACCCGGTTCCTACAGTTTTCATTGAAGGTACTCGTATCGCAAGACCTTTGCATTTAAATGAACCACTTTTAGTGATAGTTAAAAATTTGTTATCTTTTCAAGTTTTTTATTTGTTCACAAAAATTGCTGCTATTAGTATACTATTATCTTTTGTCTATAGGTTTTTTTGTTTCCGTTTTGCTGCTTTTAAAGAATAACTTCCTTGATCTCGAAGGACGACTATTATTCAAGGAATATTTAATCGCTTGCTTTCGTGTACAGAAATTCGACTATCGCTGTTTAGATATGTCTACTTTATAGGCGTGCGCATTTGTTACGTAACATATCACACGTTTTGTAAGACTGGCATTAATGCCTTTAACATTTTTATTCCTTGTAAGCCTAAAATTCACTACGTCAACTCTGAATGCTTTTTATATTTCCTTATTGTTTATTTTTAGGGTACGGTGGTCTAGCGGTTAGAACGCTGGCCTTGTAATCCTGGGGGTCTCGGGTTCGATTCCCGGAGGTGCCCGAATTTATAACTTGTGTTGGGCAAGGCCGTGGTCTAGGCAACACGGAGTTTTCCTCCGTGGCATCCCAACAATTACTCCATTCACACACAGAAGAAGGCAATGGCAAACCACTTCTGGATCATCTGCCAAGAACGTATATGAACAGGTCCCAGTCCGAGAAAAGGATGGAAGGATCCTGTTCATATGGACCTGTCCTCAGACAGAACACTAATTAATTATTAATTGTTTATTTATTAATTTAGGAGTAAACTTTATCTGTATATTTGGTTGTAATACAAGACGGTACAAGGAATTTGTTTTTTATCCCGAAATAAAATACTTATATAGGGCTTATTCCATGGTGAGAGTCGTCCTTGAGAAACTGATAGTAGCACAGATGTTCAAAACATGCCACGTGTTTGAATACAAATAGGGAAAAATATTCTGAGGTCACTGATGACGTAACGATGTATCAGTGGCCTTAGTTTTCACGCCCCACACTCATAAAATAATCTCGTGGAGACTTCGATAAGTCTCTGCCTTTGTTCCCAGCGATAAAGTCGAATAACACTTTGTCGACTTCGTTTCATATGTCGATCTTATGGGTTGTGATGCCTTGAGGACCCGTGGGTAGATACCGACATTTTGGAGGAACCTACTGTATCAACCTTCAGGTTGTGGGGTGCGCGGAGTGTTGTAAGCCACTCGCCATCAGGATAGTCACGTCAGTAAATGTCGAAAATTCCCCTAGGACTTTCGGGCACTACACTCAGAATTTTGTCAGGAAGTTGAGTGATTATTACAAGTTAAAATATCCATTAATGTTTGTTGTCTGTGGGGAAGTTTGTGTTATAAATTCTTCGCCGAACTTCCTGTTTCCTAATCGTGATGGTCGTTTCCCCCCCGCTGTGTGTCGTCATGAAAACAAATGACGGATGTGGCAGGCGTGACGCAAATCAACTAGTCAGGTTCAAGACACTTGTTTCTTGATGGACAGTGCCTTGTTTTATGACATACATAAATACTGTGTATTGTATACTTGGGGGTGGGGGGAGGGAGGTCCCTACATGTGCCTGCTCTTTCGACCCCTAATAAAATATATTGGTCTGCTTTGACGTATTTTCGTAAACATCTGCTTGGTAATTAGTTTATAACTTCGTGGTATTTGATCGCGACGTTCAGATTTTGTTATTTTCTAACTCTCTAGGGTCTTCTAATTTAAAAGATCTTTATTACATTACGTTACAGTACTTAAGCTTGGTAGAAGAAATTATATTAAACTTTATCTTCTGGTATTTGAGACGCGGATTTATATACTCAACGGCAGTCCTGCATACTTCTGAGGTGATGATCATTATCGTAATTTAGGCCCATTATAGGATCATACACATGTATTAATTTATTATGGAAATAGAAATCAATATGTCGGCCTCACGAAATGTTGTTGATTTATGAATTATTTGTTCGAAAGCGTGAAATTTGTATGATGAAGTTCGTTTATGAGTTTTATGCTACGCATTTGCGTTTATTTGTTACTGTGTGGTGAGTGCGTAAGTATGAGGTCCTGTGAGAAAAACAACGCTTATAGTTGCTCGTTGGGTTTTTATGTTATCAGGAAGTTTCAGATAACTTTTTGGGAGTAGAAGGATCTCAGTTCACAGTTGTCAGAGAGTCTGGTTCGAATTGTCGCCGAAAAACCAAATGTTTTTCATTGGTTTTTCACCCTGGAACATCTCTGCGTTGCATCGTAGCGCCCTCGCATTCTTTCTATCGTACGTCTTTTCACGGCTCATAATTCACTTGTTACACCACAGTAAAGCAGCTGAATAACGAAGTAGCAGCGGACTGTCATGTTCTTAATCGTCCGTTTGCGTCGTCTACTCTTTTATAGCACGGAATTTTGCCGAAATTCGTCGCTCAAAGACCGTCTATCGTGAATTGGTTCTGGCGTGGTTTTCCTCAGTTCCTCCAAGAAGATGCCGAGATAGAACCTCAAATTGAGCCACGACCTCTAGTTTATAAATCCTTCCCAATTCATTAATCGTCCTATCATTCGTCGTTAAATAAAAAAACATTAAAAATATAAGCACGGAAGTGAGGAACGATGTCAGTTATTGGCAGTAGAATTTCTAGTATCGAATGGCATTAAAAAAATTTGACACGCTGTGTCAGCTGACGATCGCCTCGGTGGACAGTGACGGAACATTACCTTACTGCAGGGACACCTGAGACCTCAGTATTTCTCGGTAATGTACGTGAAGATTTAGCTTAAAAGCATTAGCCAGCGTTTAGGAAATTAAAACATTTGGTAATTATAATAATAATATATTTATTTGCGGTTTTTTTATTTAACGACGTTAGCTCAGGTTATACACCGTCGAATGAGAACATAATTAATTAATGATGAATTGGAAAGGATGTGGAAGGAAGAGGTCCAGGCTCAATTTTAGGTACTTTCTGAGTACTTGTTGGGGGGGGGGTTAAGTAAAACTATGAAAGGTAGCTGCTCTCTGGGCCAAGATTTAAACCTGGGACCTCCAGACTACGAACCACTCGGAAGTGACTTTCTCTGGAGATCTTTTGTTCTAATTGATGTATTATTTGTCTTGCTATATTCTTGGATAATTCTTTATTACGTGTGATTTTACATCGCATCTTTAAAAATTACTATCTGATTTGGAAAAGAAATACTGAAGAAAGGAAGGAACAAAATGTACGAAGGTGATAAGGGAAATCAAAAGGATTACGAGAGATTAAACCAAGTAATCGCTCCCCGTAGAATTTCAACGGGAGTTCTACACGAGAATCCTTATACACGTAAGATACGGCGTACTTTATAAAATATGATTTTAGAGATCTCACCTAAAGATTGTGTAAAGTAATTGCTTGTGTTGTTATCTGCGTTTGACGTTATAGGTCTGTTTGATTCTGTTTCTATCGTCCCACTAACAGGAACCTATGACACAGCCTTCAGTATCTCGGTCAAAATGCCCCCCTCCGCCCATGCAAGTACCTCGCACCGCCTTGAGGCTACTGCCGCAGGCGTAGTAGCTGTGACAATCCTTCGGGTCCGCGAAGTACCCTTCAGCCGTGCATTTGAACGCGATGTTACTTGGAGTAACCGGCGCTGCTGTTGTTGTTGTTGCTACAGGATCAGAGCAGGACTCAGCCTTACAGACTCTGTTGACAGGATCGAATGTACCATTTCCCTTAATGCAAGATCCATGAAATGGCTGTAGGGTTTCTCCGCAGGTGTAATAGTTGTGACAATTCGTGGGGTCGGCGAAAACCCCGACTGTAGTACACGTGAAGGCAGGAGCTGAAGTGGAAAGTTGTTCCGGAGGTCCGGAACACGACGTC